GCACGGAACGCTGTTCCCTTCCCACCGAAGCGGTACCTATTTATCTACTTGCAATTTCTTGCTTTTGAACAGCTAGGTTGGCAGGAGCTGGAACTAGAGACGGGAGCTCACTCCGTCATGCGGCACACTCGGGTCTCAAACTGCTGAACGACCGACCTTCCACAGCCTGCAGTTCAGCGTCTTAACCACTTGAGCCACCGCAGCTCCTATACCTTGTGGCTAATAGCCACTCATGGACCTCTGCTCTTAAGAACATGAGAAGCCATGATGGAGCAGGCCGATGGCCCATCCAGTCCAACACTCTGTGTCACGCAGTGCCCAAAACCCAGGTGCCATCAGGAGGTCCACCAACATGTCCAGAACTCCAGAACCCCCCCCACTGTTGCCCCCCCCCCCCAAGCACCAAGAATACAGAGCATCCCTTGCCCCAGACAGAGTGTTCCCTCTATATCTTCTGGCTAAAAGCCACGGATGGACCTCTGCATTTTCTGCAAGTTTGATGCTTTATTAAAAGCTCTTCTGTAAGCAAAGCTGGATCCTGCGGCTCATTTCCCTGGGATTTCTGTAGAAATAGGTGCTGCGGTGGCTCAAGTGGTTAAGACGCTGAACTGCAGGCTGTGGAAGGTCGGTAGTTCAGCAGTTCGAGACCCGGGTGTGCCGCATGACGGAGTGAGCTCCCGTCTCTAGTTCCAGCTCCTGCCAACCTAGCCGTTCGAAAGCAAGAAATTGCAAGTAGATAAATAGGTACCACTTCGGTGGGAAGGGAACAGCGTTCCGTGCGCCTTGGTGTTCAGTCATGCCGGCCACGTGACCACGGAAACATCTTCGGACAGCGCTGGCTCTTCGGCTTTGAGACGGAGATGAGCATCGCAACCCTAGAGTCGGACTCGACTGGCTTTCGAGCAAGGGAAACCTTTACCTTTAGGTGGCTGTTCTGTAACGATGGGCCATTAATGATTTTTTTTTTATTTTGCCTTGTCTTCAGCCACATCGAGAGAGAGGAAGGAAAGGAAAGGAAGAACGCCCAGCGGCTACTCACCCTCGGCATGGTTAGAGCCACGTCCACGTTGACTTCCGGCTTGATGCAGGTACCCAGAAGGTAACTCCCCACGACTTTCACCGACACAGGAGGCAGGAAGTGGAACCGGCCCTTCACGCTGAAAGGCACCTGGACCAAAGGCACCTTCACGCCCTTCGGAAGCCAGGACTGGTCTGTCATCTGGAAAGTAAAGACGGTGACTGAGTTGAGATGGGGCCTCAGCTCTGTGGTAAACCACTTGCTTTGCATGAAGAAGACCCCAGGATCACGTACACAAAGCTACCTTATAGTGAGTCCACCTAGGTAAGTATTGTCTATTCAGACTGGCAGCAGCCCTCCAGGGTTCTCAGGTAGAGATGTAAAATTTCCGGAAATTTTGAAGCTCGGAAAAAAACCAATTTTTTCCCGTTTTTTTGGGGAAAACGGAAATTTTCGGAAAAATTGAAAAAAATGCTACATTAGCACGTCTTTTGTCTTTTCCAGATTGAAAGTCATTCTGTTACTTTAGGAACATAAAATATGACTATGGACATTTTTGCTTGGCATGAAATTATCACAACTAGCATATTAAAAATATAGTGTATCCAAACAATTAGAAGAAGACGACAAACAGAATACCCACCCACATGCAAAAACAAAACTGAAACCTTTTTATTTTCTTCTGACAATAGCACCTCCTAAAGGAAGAAAGGCATCTTGTTCTTGCATTGGAGAGTTCAGTTTGTAACCTAGGACTTGCTTGTCCTCAGTGCACAGAAATTAGATCAATCTGATACCATATGTATATATTAGAAATGATTTGGAAAAATATTTGAACACCTTGTCTTAAAATATTTTATTCATCATGTTAAAATAAAACGTTCCATAGTCATTTTATTTTATTTTTATTATTTCCAATTTTTTGGGAAAAAACAAAAAAGGCTTCAGGAAAAAATTTCCCAAATTTTTCCGTTTTTTTCCCGGGCCTTCACATCTCTAGTCTCAGGCAGAAAAGCAGAAAAGAGCAAGAGTCCAGTAGCACCTTAAAGACTAACAAAAATTGTGGCAGGGTGAAATTTTGTGCGTCACTGCTTGTTCCTTCAGATACAGCTAGAGTCACAGAATCATAGGAACACAAAGTTGGAAGGGGCCATACAGGGCATCTAATCCAACCCGGTGCTCAGTGCATATGTCCTTATGCATTCTTCATGCTCCAAGGGAGATCAGAAAGAGAGACTGCCAAATTGTAACTGATAATGAAGCTCAAGACCATGCAGCCTCCTGGACTGAATCGAGACCTAGGTTTCCTGTCTCGTTACCAATGCTGCTTTCTCCATGCCTACAACCCCTCTGCGTGTCACAACTAATCCAATCACGGCTGCTGTTGTCATTCGCCTGCTATTTGTCATTCAGCATCTGAAATCCCTCCACTCTCCAAGATACAAGGACAGATGGACTCACAATCTAGCTGTATCTGAAGAAGTGAGCAATGACTCATGAAAACTCATGACCTGTCACAAATGCTGTTAGTCTTGAAGGTGCTACTAGACTCTTGCTCTCTTCTACCGCTACGCCTGCTTGGCATGCAGAAGGCCCCAGGTTCGATCCCCGGCATCTCCAGTTAAAAGAATCAGGCAGGAGGTGATTGGAAAGACCTCCGCCTGAGCCCCTGGAGAGCTGCTGCCAGTCTGAGCAGACAATACTGACCTTGGAAGAGGAAGAACAGGAAGAGGAGGAGGAGGAAGAGGAGATTGGATTTATACCCCGCCCTTCACTCGGAGTCTCCGAGTGGCTTACAAACTCCTTTCCCTTCCCCTCCCCACAACAGACACCCTGTGAGGTAGGTGGGGCTGAGAGAGCTCTTGACAGGAACTGCCCTTGAGAGAACAGCTCTGAGAGAGCTTCTGACTGACCCCAGGTCACACCAGCAGCTGCGTGTGGAGGAGTGGGGAATCGAACCCGGTTCTCCCGGATTAGAGTCCACGCTCCTAACCACGACACCAAACTGGCTCCTACGACAGCATCTCTGTCCCTCTTTAGAAACAAGGGATGACCTTCGTGCATCCTTAAGACTGTGGCCGGAAACTCTGGGACATCTAGGTAGGGCTGACCACCGACCACCAAAACCCACCCCCAGCAGTCTAGACGTACGTCAGTCTCGGTAGTCGCTGGGATCTTGGCCAGCAGGGCATTGATCTGGTGGAGAAAGGCATCGATCTTCTGTCTCCTCTTCTCTTTGAGCGTCACCTCCTTCAAAAGCTCCTCGATCTGTGCACAGAGATAAAGGGACACGGGGCATCAGAAGACTGCACTGTTCAGTGTTCCTACTTTCCCAGCATCATCAAGGTGGCGCTTGATGTACCAAGTGCAGGGGGGAAAATGCTACCTGAGCTCTGAGGACTCACGATCCACATTCAGCAGGGCAGGGTTGGAGAGAGGCAAGAGACTGCTGTCAGGGAAGGAAAAGGCAGGAAAGGGGAGGAGGAGGAGATTGGGAGTTATACCCCGCCCTTCACTCGGAGCCTCAGAGCGGCTTACAGTCTTCAGGACTAGAAGCATGACATGTATGCAAACAGAGGAAGTTTGGGGAGCCACTACCAGAGCAAAAGAAAACCCAAATGAGTCCCGGTTGAGTCAAGAGGTGATCGAAGCCAGACCAAGCCAGTCAGGGGTTCAATTCAATTACCTTTATTGGCATCAACACTAAAAAGAGTAATATACAAAAGATAAGGTAAAGAACAAATACCAATTAAAGGGGGGGGGGAACCATTCTAAAATCAACGTAAAATAAGTCTCAGTTTCATATCTCCTGACTACGAGTCTTGCATTACAATACTGCAGCCTGCAGGAACTCTGCCACAGAAACGGTTATATTTTGATCATCGCTGTTTAGCAAATATAGCAATTTGTGTGAGTCAGGAAGCTCTATGATGCCACCAAGCAGTGATGATGAAATGCGGTGTCAAAAATTGGCATAGTAATGGCATTCCAACAACACGTGAGACACCGTTTCAACTGACCCGCTCGAACAGGGGCATAGTCTATTAACAAAAGGGATGCTATTAAACCTTCCAGTTAAGATCGCTGAAGGGAGAGCACTGAACCTGGCAAGTGAAAAGGTTCTACGTAACGCTGGAGTCTGAAGTTGGTGAAATTAGCAAGCAGTGGGCAATATCCCATGACTCAGAGGGGAGTATGTCTCATTAGCTGCGTTGTACAGTTCAACAGCGTTCCGTGCGCCTTGGTGTTTTGTCATGCCGGCCACATGACCACGGAGACGTCTTCGGACAGCGCTGGCTCTCCGGCTTGGAAACGGAGATGAGCAACGCAACCCTAGAGTCGGACTCGATTGGCTTTCGAGCAAGGGAACCTTTGCCTTTACCTTTAAAGTTCAAATAGCTCTGCCTCAGTCTGTCCCTTATTGTTTGCATTGCCTCCAATTCAGAAAGTAAGAGTAAGGATTCGAAAGGGGCCAGCCAGGGGCGTCACAGGCCCACGAGGGGACACCTGTCATCTCCCGTGATGCTGATGGGTTGGAGGGGGCTAAGCCCCTGCACAGGATCAGTGCCCTGGTCCCCGGCCTGCACCAAGGAGCTGCTTGGCTGGAGAATAAGCCCTTGCTCCTTGGGTCACTAGAAAAGGAAGGAAGGAGACTGGCTTCTCTGGAGCAAAACGTACTCTGGGTTTGTGGACCAGTCAGAGAGGGACAAAGAGCTCAAACCTAGAAGGGTCCCGGAAGGAGGAGGAGGAGAAAAGGAGGAGGAAGGAAGAGGAGAAGGAGGAAGAGAAGGAGGAGATTGGATTGATATCCCACCCTTCACTACCCAAGGGAGTCTCAGAGCGGCTCACAAATGCCTTTCCCTTCCCCTCCCCACATCAGACGCCCTGGGAGGTCGGTGGGGCTGAGAGAGCTCTTTCGAGGACTGCTCTTGAGAGAACAGCTCTGAGAGAACTTGTGACTGACCCTGGGTCACACCAGCTGGCTGCAAGTGGAGGAGTGGGGAATCAAACCTGGTTCTCCCAGATTAGAGTCCGTGCACTTAACCACTACACCAAGCTGGCTCTCTGGCAATCCCGAGGCTTCTGGGTCCCTTCTGGCTCTGGGTGCGAAAGAATCCCAACGGAAGGAACGTTCCCGTCCTGACCTGCAAGCGCAAGAGATTGGAGTGGAAGAGGTTCTCTGTCTCCTTCAGCTGGCTCAACTCTTCGCTGGTTGGGGGCTTGTAGAGTGTCGCCTTGCTGACCTTCACCGGCTGCAAAAGGCCTTCAGAAGCCAAAGCCCTTCTCTTCCCCCGGGGTCTACTTTCCTTGGCCGGAGAGTTGTTGGCCTCTCCTGCCTCCTGATCCCCACGGTTCGCATCTCGCTCTGCGTCTTCCAACATCTGCAATGACAACAACAACAAATGCAGTTCAAATAAACTCTCATCTATGTTGTATCTCATCAGAAGATGTGAGCATTTGGGGGGTCCAGACCCTGTTGAGAAACGCAAAGTCAAGGAATCTTTCATCTCAAAAATTAAGAACGTAAGCAGAGCCCTGCTGGATCAGACCAGTGGTCCATCTAGTCCCGCCTCCTGTCTCACACAGCAGCCAACCAGTTCCTCTCGAGGTCCAACAACAGGGCAGAGAGGCCGAGGCTTTCATAAGAACATCAGAAGAGCTCTGCTAGATCAGACCAGTGGTCCATCTAGTCCCGCCTCCTGTCTCACACAGCAGCCAACCAGTTCCTCTCGAGGTCCAACAACAGGGCAGAGAGGCCGAGGCTTTCATAAGAACATCAGAAGAGCTCTGCTAGATCAGACCAGTGGTCCATCTAGTCCCGCCTCCTGTCTCACACAGTGGCCAGGGAGTTCCTCTGGACAGCCAAAAACAAGGCATAGGGGAACGGACTTTCCCCTGATGTTTCCTTCTGGCTCTGGGATTCAAGGGCTGACTGCCTGCTGGATCAGACCAGTTCCTCTGGACAGCCAGAAACAAGGCATAGGGGAACCGACTTTCCCCTGATGTTGCCTTCTGGCTCTGGGATTCAAGGGTTGACTGCTTCCGAATGTGGAGGTTCCCTTTAGTCACCATGACTAGCTGGCATGGATAGAACTCTCCTCCATGAATCTGCCTGGTCTCCTTTTAAAGCTGCCTATGCCTGTGTTAGACAGTGTCATCGATGCAATGAACATGAAGTTGCGCAAACTCTGGAGCACGACAGAAGACAGGACAGCCTGGCGTGATGTGGTCCATGGGGTCGGGAAGAGTCGGACTCGTCTGTGCGACGGAACAACAGCAACATGCCTGTGGCCATCATTGCATCCTCTGGCAGTGAATTCTCATGAGGTTCTGAAGCTAAGCAGGGTTATCCCTGGTTAATACCTGGACAGGAGACCACCAAGGAATATCACGGTTGCTACACACAGGCAGGCAGTGACAAATGACGTAGGCTAGATGGCCATCTGACAGCGATGCGGACTGTGTGAACTTAGGCAGATCATGAGAGGGACGGCAGGAAGGGTTGCCTCAGTGCTTAGTTCTCGTGGCCCTTTTTTACATGCCCAGGGCAATCCTGATCGCCACTTTGGGGTCAGGAAGCCATTTTTCTCCAGGCCAGTTTGGCTGGGGATCCTGGAGGATTTTTATCATCGTCTGGACACGGTGCAGGGGTCACTGGGGGTGGGGTGGGGGAGGTATTTGTGAATTTCCTGCGGGGCCAGAACTCCAGAATCCCTCCCACTGTGCCCCCCCCCCAAGCACCAAGAACACAGAGCACCACTGCCCCAAATATAAGAACATAAGAGAAGCCAATGTTGGATCAGGCAAGTGGCCCACCCAGTCCAACACTCACATGGTGGCCATGACCCAGCAACGAACTGTAGAACTGAATAGCACCTTATGATTTTATGTTTTAACTTATTATGAAATAATGTATATTGCTTTATCGGTTTTACTGGCAACTGGGCCACTGCTGTAAGCCGCCCTGAGCCCGCCGAGGCAGGCTCAAGGTGGCTTACATATATGCAATAGCTAAAAACAACAATATAATAACAGCACTGAATCTTAAAACAATGACATAAGGTGCTAGCAACAATATAAGTAATGATGGCAAAGACAGAGTAGCATCAACACACTGGTAAAAGCAGTCGGTGTTAGATTTTAGTGTCGGTGGAACTCAGGCTGTCGGCGATGGTATTGGGCCTTGGTGTGTTGGGTACGGTGCCTTAATTAAAGGTCTGGTGGAAGAGCTCCGTCTTGCAGGCCCTGCGGAACTGTAAAAGGTCCTGCAGGGCCCTAACCGCTTAGTCTTCAAACAGACGATTTACTAATTACTTAAGTCTTCAAACTAAGCCTCTCTTGTCTAATCCCACCCACCCAAGATCGTGACCAATGCTCCCTCTAAGCTGTGGAGTCTTTTGAGCAAAAAATCTACTTTGTGAGCTACTGGCATTAAAGTTGTAAGCGAGCAATTTGGCTACAGCATAAATTAGTCAGCCCTGGAGCCATCCTTCCTGAGCTAAGGCAAAAATGTGTGAGCCAGAGGCTAAAACACTGTGAGCTAGCTCACACCAACTCAGCTTAGAGGGAACACTGATCGTGACTATCCTACATTACAGGGTTGTCGTTAGAACAAGATGGACAATGGAGAACCACAGAGGCGGCTTCCCACTTGGGACAAATGAGAAAAAGCATAATAAGAAAAGTGCAATCTAAAACAAAAAAAATAACCCATTTTGTTAAATATGCTGTTTTTAAAAAGAACTTCAAACCCACCCACCCCTTTATACTCACCTTCTCTATCCACGTGAATGGAACTCGGCACCAACCACGTGGACTCCGACCTCCCCTCCACTCACTTCCGGCACCCAAGCCCTGGCCGCCTCCTGATTGGATAAATGAAATTGAAGGAGGAGAATGTGGAGGAAAATCCCACATGGCCACGCCCACCCCAGCAAGTTTTCTTCTCCCTTCCCCGTCCGGTCTGTGACTCAAAGAAACTTGCTGGAGTGGGCGTGTCCACATCGATTTGGACCAATCGGAGAGCGAGATTCGCCAAGCGTCGGGTTTAAGGGTCTCTTCCTGTCTCCAGCGCCTGCCTTTGGTTGCTAGGGTGACGGAAGTGTGGGGGTTACCGAAGCGAGCTGCTCCTGTAGAAAGCGCGTGTCGAAGTAAAATTTGTCCCCCCCCCCCGGAAGCACTGCCAGAACGCGGCGTGGGATTCATTTCAAAACCTACTTGTTTCACAGCTCCGACCGACCCACCGTTCTGGGGTGGGGGGGAAATCCCTCCCATCTACCATTTCTTGCGCTGTAATTGGTGCAAGTGTCTGCCCATCAACGCTAAGCCCGATTTGTATTGGCTGCCACTCTTGGAGCGACTCACCGGAGCTCATTCAGTCATTCCCTGTGATAGCTGAATGACGGGTAAACGCACCAATGAAGAACGAAACTGGAAACAAATCTTTGAAGCGCGTAGCTTGATCGACGCATCGGTGATCCAATCAGATGGCGTATTTTTTACGGCACCAGCGCGGCTTCTTCTTAAGTTCTAGCTTGTTGTGAATGGCGTGGGCGGGAGCGCCCTTTCCTCTTTTCCTATTGGCTTCTTTGCAGTCAAAGGGCTTGACTGCCCATTCATTAACCTTAGATTGTACGCTCTCCGGGGCAGAGACCTGACCTATGTTTGGGATTTTAGCACCGTTTGTGAAGCGATGTTATGGAATCATGAGCAATGATGGCAGGAATAAATAAAAATTGGATCCAGCGCATGCTTCAGCTAGACTTTTAGCTGATTTGAAATTCTGCTCAGTATTTAAATACATAATTTGTGCCTTCCAAGTGGTCTGCCGTGGAGATCACTTAATAGCACTTTATGAGGTGGATGCAGCGTCATCTTGCAAAACATCCCAATATTCCTTGCATTTTAGTGTATTTCTTTTTCAGAGTAGTATATTAGAATACTGAATGTGTAATGCAAGGAATATTGGGATGTTTTGTTGACATGACGCTGCATCCACCTCTTACAATACAAGAACTCGTGGGCACTCAATGCAATTGCTGAGCATTCGGGTTAGAATGGATAAAAGGAAGTCCTTCTTCACCCAAAGAGTGATTAACACATGGAATTCACTGCCACAGGAGGTGGCGGCGGCTACAAGCATGGACGGCTTCAAAAGGGAATTAGATAAGCATATGGAGCAGAGGTCCATCAGTGGTTATTAGCCACAAGGTATGGAATCGGATTCGACTGGCTTTCCAGCAAGGGAAACCTTTACCTATAGATAGGAATTCTCAGGCTGGGGCAAGTGATTCATTGTATTCTTGGTGCTGGGGGGGGGGGCAACAGTGGGAGGGCTTCTAGTGTCCTGGCCCCACTGGTGGACCTCCTGATGGCACCTGGTATTTTTGGCCACTGTGTGACACAGAGTGTGGGACTGGGTAGATCCAGCATTGGCTTCTCTTATGTTCTTAAAGTGCTGTTAAGTGATCTCCACACCTGGGACATTCTCCGTTTGCTTCCCACAAATAGAAAAAACACCTTTAGACATTTATCTGCTATTTTGACGTATTCATTGCTTTACATCTGTTGACCTTATAACCTTAGCTTGTTATTTAGTTCTGACTTTGCAAACCTTACACATCATCGTGTTACCTGTTAATTTGCTATTAAGTCCCTGTCTATAAATTTGAACCTTACCTACCATTCCAATGTATTTGAAAAAGTGTGCCTTGCACACGAAAGCTCATACTTTGAATAAACCGTTGTTGGTCTGAAAGGTGCCACTGGACTCTCAATTTGTTCTAACAAAATTTGTGGCAGGGTATCAGCTTTCATGAGTCACTGCTCACTTCTTCAGTTCTTAAGGTGCTCCTGGAGTCTTGCTCTTTTCTACTCCTACAGACAGACAGGGTGACAAATCTTGATCTTTTAAAAAATCTGTCATTCAGTCTTGTAGTCAGTTCTTTTCATGCTAGTGATCCATTTGTAATGGGGATCTGAGATTCTGATTCTCAAATAGCAAATCACTTTTTAAAATAAACCTCTGAATGCCAGAGCGTTAGGGGAAGACCTTGGTCTCTATGCTGTGTTTATTGGCCCTGCAGGGGGAACGGTTAGGTGTCCTGTGAAACAGATGCTATACCCAATAAACCACTGGCCTAATTCAGCCTGGCTCCTCATGTGTTCTTTGTGGATGTCTCTGCCTGAGAAGGTCGGAAAAGCTCCCACCCTGGGCTTTCTGCAAATTATGCAAAGCTGATTCAGGTGGGTAGCCGTGTCAGACTGACGCTTGAGTCCAGTGGCACCTTTAAAACCAACAAAGTTTGGACGTCCGGTTTATGGCGACACGCTAGCAGACGCATCTCCCGGACATCCTGGGGATGTGATCTGCGCACTAGCGGATGGGGGGGCAACTGGTCGCCGCCACCACCCCCGGAGCCTTGGTGAAAGGCTCCTAGCCATGGGGCGTTTGAAGGGTGGCCTCTTTGCCAGCGCATTGCTGGGGAATTGAGGCGCCTTTCCACCCCGACGGTCCTGCCGCTGAGAGTCTGTATGGAACTAGAGCCGCTGACCAGGACAAGCGTCGGAGATCGGGCGTTTGAAACGTATCCTGAGCGAGGTCGTAAGACCAACAATGAACAGTGAGTCGAGTTAAAGCAAATGATGGGGATTTTTTTTAAAAGCACCCCCTGGGAACGGAGAGAAAAGCGAGCGGGGGAGGGGTCCCTCCCACACACACAAACGAAAAAGCGACCTACCAAGGGGGAGCGAAAGCAAAAGCGTTGAAATCTGTTTTAAAAGACTTACCATATGGGCAAATTTCAGAGACTTTAGCAAGTTTTTTAAAAAGTAAACAATCCATAAAGATGGTGGAGAAGAAGACGGAGAAAGACAGACTGGCAAAAGTGAAACTAGCGGGGAGCATGAGCCCCCAACCAGAAGAGGTCACTGAGTTCTCTAAACAGCTGGCAGACTCTTTGCGCCCCCTGCTGGACCAGATGACCAACATCAATCAACAGCTGACAGCCTTAAATCAGAACCTTGCAACTCAGCAGCTTCAGCTGACTGAAACTTCAAAAGAGACAGAGCAAACAGCTGAGAAAGTGAAGGAAATGGACGCCAAGAGCAAAAAAGTTAAGAAAAAAGTGCAAATGCTGGGGAAAAAGCAGGCTTCAGATGAATCTCAACTCTTACAACTACAAATGGAGAAAGCAAATATGGTCCTAAGGTTCCATGGGGTTCCAGAGACAAAATACGAGAATCTAAAGCAACTTTTGAGTGAAGCATTAGCCCCAGTCACAGATTTGAAAGCGGAATATCTTGTAAGCGAAATGGATGTGGTCTACAGGGCCTATTCTGTTCATGTAAAGAAAAATAATCTGCCTGGGGAGATAGTGGTCAGATTCTCGAAGAGACACATAAGGGATTTAATACTGAAAGCAACTACAGTAACACCCTTGAAAATGGGGAACAATACCATCAGGATCCTGAAACATATCCCATTTGAAATAAGGCAAAAGAGGAAGAAGTACAAAGACTTAATCCTTTTTTTAACAAACAAACAGCATTGCCTACAGATGGTTGACTCCAAAAGGCGTCATTTTCAGACTACACAATAAAAAATAAAAGATTGGCTCTGTTTTTAAAGCGTGTGAGTTCCTGAGATTGCAACTGGGAGAGACAGCCGAAATCGCTAAAGAAGAAGGCGAATTGGACTCTGTGTCTTCCGATGAGGACTCTGCTTCCGAAAAGGGGGCGGTTGCCCCCAAAAGAGCATACCAATTGAGGATTAGAAAAGATAAAACAAAGTGAAGGCTGAAGGACTCTGAATTGTGCCTTAAAGCTTTTTAGTATAGATGATGCTCTTGAAGTTCTCTTTAAACAGTTAAATTAATGGATAAAAAGATAAATAATTTAGCGTAATCGACTATGTTCAATGTAATACTAGCAATTTTAGATTAACACTTATACAAGCTGTTGTTATGATCTCCTATTCTTGCGGTTTTAGTTATTAGTGGTTTTCTTTTCTTTCTCCTTATATGTAGTCCCCCCCCCCCCTATTTTTTCATTGTAGTTTGTAGTGTATTAAAAATGCAATTAAAAATCCTCTTTGGGGGTACAAAAAAAAAAAGACCAGCAAAGTTTAATTCTGGGTGTAAGTTTTCATGTGCATGCACACTTCTGCACATATATTGAAACAGACTGAACTGTAATAAAACTGTATTATTCAAGAGCGCTTTTCTACACAAGCAACAGGGTTGTGCTGCAGCTGTACAAAACGATGCATGAAGTTACTTGGATAGAATTAGTGGAGACTGAGGTCTGTACTACTGTGCATAGTTTGCTGTGGGCTGGGTCCTGTTGTGTAACTTTGCATCATTTCCCATGTGTGGGGTTAACCCTTTTGCTTTGCTTCAGTTCTGTTGGGTTGTAGAACCAGTTCCTGGTTGGCCGTACAGCCCAAATCCTATTTCATTGTTTATTGAATCTTCCATCTTGTTGATCGTCTTGTGTAATCTGCCTTAAGCACCAGTGAGAAAGTCTAAGCAAGGTAAATAAATAAGAACATAAGAGAAGTGAATGATGGATCAGGCCAGTGGCCCATCCAGTCCAACACTCTGTCACACAGTGGCCAAAAATACTTGGTGCCATCAGGAAGTCCAGCAGTGGGGCCAGGACACTAGAAGCCCTACCACTGTTGGTCCTCCCAAGCACCAAGAATACAGAACATCACTGTCCCCATCCTGAGAGTTCCTATCTATTGTGTTGTGGCTAATAGCCACTGATGGACCTCTGCTCCATATGCTTATCTAATTCCCTCTTGAAGCCATCCAGGCCAGAGCTGGTGACCCTCGTAGGCTAAAGGTAAAGGTTCCCTTGCTTGAAAGCCAGTCAAATCCGACTCTAGGGTTGCAGTGCTCATCTCTGTTTCCAAGCCGAAGAGCCAGCGCTGTCCGAAGACATTTCCGTGGTCATGTGGCCGGCATGACTAAACAGCAAGGCGCACGGAACGCTGTTACCTTCCCACCGAAGTGGTACCTATTTTTCTACTTGCAATTTCTTGCTTTCGAACTGCTAGGTTGGCAGGAGCTGGAACTAGAGACGGGAGCTCACTCCGTCATGCGGCACCCAGCATTAAATGAGTAAATACTAAATGGAAAAGATAGCTACTTTTAAACTGAAAATTCCTGTGATTCTATTGTTTAGCTTTTCTTTAAAAGATACTGTTTCACGTTTACTATAATACACTGAGTTCGAGATGCGTATAGTCATCAGCTAATAGTTTATTCGTGATTTTAGCTTAACTCTAAGACAACTCTAGCAGGGCCGGAGCCCTGCTTATATGCATGCAAAACACCCCACCCCACACATACCCACTCCCTGTGATAGGCTATTTACAAAGCATTAGTACTTGATGGGTGTATTCTATAGTCCTGGTCGGCTATTGTTCTTGTGCTCCAAGCTCAGCCAGTCTCTAGGGCATGGGTGTCGAACTCGTTTGTTATGAGGGCCGGATGTGACATAAATGAGACATTGTTGGGCCGGGCCCTGTATGTCATAAAATGTAATGCCAGGTAGCAGAGATATAAACTTTATAAAGAACACAAACACAAAGGGGTTTTTTTAACTTAAAATCATGCTTAAAACATTAGCACTCTCACAATATTTTGTTTATTTAACAGTGTCTGATAACTGACACCTTTTGTTCTGAATTATTGCATCAAAATGTCTGTGCTGTTGCAGTCTTGAGTATGCTGTTCAGGTGTGTATCTGTAAGCTGCAAACCTACGATGACGCAGCAGCAGCAGAACTGGAAGAAGAAGAAGACAGCCAGTTCTACTGCAGGCCTGAGAGAAGCCCTCTGGGGGCCTAATCCGCCCCGTGGGCCGCATGTTTGACACCCCAAAGTTACAGTATATTTAGAGGGAGAGAGGATGCATTTATAACCCAATAGCTTTTGTTACTATATCATTGATCTGGTGTGGTGTTAAATGCTTGTAACCATTTTCTTTTTATATAAATATTTTACTCTTTGATGCTGGTGGCGGTTCTCTGTACCACATAGTCCCCCCCAGCTGCTGTTGGACACGCTACTGTATGAAGGGGGAGGGAGGAGGTTAGGGTGCAAGTGGCCAACTCTCCAGGGGAAACCCAAAGCTGCATTTGATCCTTGTGGTAACCGGATGCTGGGTATCAGGAGACCTTGAGGCCAGGCCTCAGAACTGGGAAGGGGGATTGAGAGTCCTGTTCCTCTCATTCAGAAACCCTAAAATGAACAGGTGGTAGCGGTGACTACCCTAGTGAAAGGAAGAGGAATAGTTACCTCCAGGAGTCAGCACCCCAACAGAAGGAGTGGGCAAAACAGGCTCTGTAGGTCAAGCTGTCCTGTTCCGTCACATGCAGTTTTTTTCCCCTTTTATCCAATAAAAGCTCTACGATACATCGATCTTGAGCAGCGGATAGTTGTTGTTAATCAATTATCGCCCAATAGAAAAAAGGAATAAAAAAATTGCGACTGCTGGAGCTCTTTTTGGCTCCCTGCCAGACAGTTAAAAGAGAGCTAAGTCATAGGAGTAAATGTCCAAATGAGCTTGCAAACACAGTAAAATATCCTGAGATCGGCGTACCAAGGACACTCAGGTAATCCTGAGATTAGGGTACAAAGGACACTCCAGGAGGATATTTGCTATTGAGTCAATCTTACCTACAGGCCTGTAGCCAGAAAAATTTCAGTAGGGGGGGGACACCGCGGAGGCGTGACGTCACTTCCGATGTCACAATAATAATAAAATTAAAATAAACCAAATAAAAGGATTTATTCATAAGAGAACGTAAGAACACCGTTGCCCCCTCCCAAGCACCAAGATAAATTGCCCCAAGATAAGTGCATCCCTTGCCCCAGCCTGTGAGTGCCTGTCTATACCTTGTGGCTCTGCTCCAGATGTTTATCCAGTTCCCTCTTGAAGCCGTCCGTGCTTGTAGCTGCCACCCCCTCCTGTGGCAGTGAATTCCTCGTGTTAATCACTCTTTGGGTGAAGAAGTACTTCCTTTTATCCGTTCTAACCCGACCGCTCAGCAATTTCATGGAGTGCCCACAAGTTCTTGGTATTGTGAGAAAGGGAGAAAAGTACCTCTTTCTTGACCTGCTCTATCCCATGCATCATCTTATAAACCTCGATCGTGTCACCCCTCAGCCGTTGTTTCTCCAAGCTAAAGAGCCCCAAGCGCTCTAACCTTTCTTCCTAGGGAAAGTGTTCCGACCCTTTTATCATTTCAGTTGCCCTTTTCTGCACTTTCCCCCAATGCTTTAATATCCTTTTTGAGGAAGGAATAGAGGAATGGGGTTGGTGCTCTCAGTGATTCTATTGTTCAGCTTTTCTTTAAAAGATACTGTTTCACGTTTACTATAATACACTGGGTTCGAGATGCGTATAGTCATCAGCTCATAGTTTATTAGTGATTTTAGCTTAACTCTAAGACAACTCTAGCTCTCAGAGACCTTCCTTTCCTAGCTACTTTTTTGGCCCATGCAAGCTCCCGCCGAAGCAGAGAGGGAAAGTCGCAATGGCAGCTTGGCCTACCGCAAATGCTTGAGTGGGTGGAAGGTGGGCAAAGCCACAGCGGAGCAGCAGCGAGGTGGGTGGCGGGGCAGGTGCGGAGGGCCGGAGTCAGGGGAAGGAAAGGCGAAGGGGCCATATCTGCCTGCACCAAACAGAGCCCCCGCCCAGCAGCCACCACCATGGACCACGGTCTGTGGGAGAGGAGGCACCGCGCTGTTCTTCCTGGCACTCTGCTTGGGTAAGTGAGGCTAGCCAAGGCTGGGCCCCCGGAGCTTTGCAAGTGCACACCCTGATCCTTGGTCAGGCCTGAGTGCCAAAGAAGCGCAGTCCAGGCAGAGGTGAAGATTTCGGGAGATCTGGCGCATGGGCGGGTGGGGGGGGGCAGCGGATGTCCCCAACGTGACGTCATCCCGGCGGGGGTGCCCCTCCCCCTCCAGGAACGCCCCCAAAGTCCCCCGCTGGGGGTGGAAGATGGACTTGGCAACCCTAGGCTCAGAGCATTCCGATTATTTTAATTGACTGTAATTTAACTGCCTCCTTAAAAATTTGAATGTCCCATGAACAAAAATATCCGGGCTATGGGCCTGGGAAAGATTTCAGTAGGGTACAATGCCATAGAGTCCGTCCTCCAAAGCAGCCGTTTTCTCCAAGGGAACTGACCTCCCTGTTGCCCAGAGATCTCTTGTGATTCCAGGAGAGCTCCTGCCCATGCCTGGAGGTTGGTGACCCTAGCCCATGCGCAGGACGGCTTTACAGCCGTTTTGAGAGGGATCAAAGGATTCAGAGAAGAGCTTCGGGGATAAGGAAGAGACAGACCTGATAAGGGTCAAACAAGTGCTTTCGTTCAGCTTGAAGAAGATTAAAAGGAGACACTTGCCGGCAGATATATAAAGAGATTACAAAGAAGAGGGAGGAACAGCAGAGAGGGGGAATTAACCTAATGATAACTCCCGGCATATACATTTTGAGAGCCCGCTTTCTTCATTCCCCCTACAGCCTCCCCCCTGGGCGCCGGATCCCAGGGTGGGAGGCAGCCTTCCCGATATAAAGAAAGGATCGGCACATCGCCTCCGGGTGTCTGCATCCAGGCGAGGGCCTTGAGGCCAAAACAAAGAAGGCTCCTATGTTCTGTCAAGGGGAGCAGCTGCCGGCACTCGAGGTGATGAGCTCTCCCCGAAGGCCGCCAGACAAAGGCTGCAAAGACGAGAGAGGGAGAGCGGAGCCCCGGGCCTTTTTGTCCGTCTAGTGCCTACGGAGGTTCCCCAAGGCTGACCTTGTCAAGGCAGGGTTCTGTAACAGCCGTTTCCCCATCCTATACATTCCAGATGGTTCATGGCACAATGCTCCCTCTCAGCTGTGGAGTCTTGTGAGCAAAAATTCTGCTTGGTGAGCTACTGGCATTAAAGCTGTGAGCGAGCGATTGGGCTGCTGCATAAATTAGTTTGCTCCGGAGCCACCCCTTCCTGAGCTGATGTAGGGGAGGCAAAGAGTGAATTTTGGGAAGAACTCATCATGGCAAGCTCATGATAGGGAAATTTTGGAGGACACTTGTAATGATTCCTTGTTTGAGTGTGTTTGTGTCTCTTTAAAAGTTTGGTTGCATGGCTGTGGTAGGTAGACTAGAGTGGTTGAGAGATGCAAGTGTGATATGATTGGTGGTTGACAGAGAGGGGGAGGGGTTTTGGAAGTGAATCTGGGTGGATGCGTAGGTGTGTCAGTCAGGAGTTGGGGTTTACAAGTTGACAGTTGATGGGTACAGGCGGTTCTGTGGGGAATCAGTTAGAAGTTGACAGTTGAGGTTGCTCAGTCAGAAAGAGAAAGAGAGCTGAGTGTAAAGGATAAGCTAAAGGAAAGTTTGATTGAAGAAAAGTTATAGGAAAGTCTGAGTGTCATAAGAAACTGGAGTGAAACAGTGAACATATATGGCATTGAGATAAACAATTGTTACAACCCTGCAAAGAAAAGATCCCTGTCAGAGAGGGATAAAATTGTGTATGATACCAAATCAGTTGTTCATCATTTACATATTCCTAGTTACATTTTAACCACCCACTTATGTAGTACTTATTTCAATAAATCCTCTTTCATCCAAGTTTATACCAGCTCTGAATGGAATACTTCCCAGGACCACATAGTTCCCCGTAAGCCTTGAACTCGGTCTACAAAATTAGTAAGAGCAACAGAAGAGGAGCACGCTGGAACGATCAGATGGAGGAAGTCCGTCTGCGGCCCATCGCAAGCTTTTGATAGTGGATTTTCACAGGTACCTTTTAACTCCGGATCCTCGGCCAGATGAGACGGGTTGGCTACGGGTGCACGACGCTTGCCAGATGTGCCCGTTTGATCACGCCTGTAAAACCCGCTCGGCATCTGTGAGTATCCTGCGGAAACTTCTGTGTGTGATCGGGGCCTTAATTAAGGTTTCTGTGTTACATGCAGAAAGACTTAGGTGGTATAATATAAATTGGTAGTAAAATAGATATGAAATGCCTCTGAGAATGAATGACATTTCTGGAAATGCCCCTCCTGGCTATAGTGACTACACATTTCTGAGTTGCTGCCCAGTTGGGAGGGAACGGCTTGGAGATTGCCAAGTTCTTGGACAGAGGACCCTTCCAGATCAATATAAGTATTAATGAGTAAAAAGAGTTCCCTGGCTTTCACTGGGAACTATAGGCCCTGTTCACATGGCGAATTTGCCCTGTGGGAGGGACGGCTAGCCTGCGAATTAAAGCTGTGCGATCATACCTGAACATCTGGGAAACGTCGCACTCCCGTCTCTAACCCGCAGCTTCGGCCCGAAGACGCGGATTTAAAAGCTACGAGGAACCATGTACTAGTTTCCCGATAATGTGTGGCGTGTGCGGGCATCTGATCAGGAAGCAGTGGTAGCCCGTCGCAGCCAGTGCTCGGTGGCATCCGACGTATGCGCACAAACGCCTTGCTGCTGTGTTGCTTAGCGTGGTTCTGGGCAGAACTTGTGATAGAGGGTAATTGAAAAGGTCGGGGAATGTGTGAAGCTTGCAGGATAGCCCTTATTAGGTGTCTGTGGGATCTTTCCCCCTGATTATCTGGGGCCATGTGGATATCATTCCTGGGCTGATGGAACTGAAGGAAGGTGGGGCCAGCCCCCCCCTTTCACTCTCTCTCTCTATATAAAGATATATATATATATATTTCTGTATAAGCCTCAGAAATTTCATATTTACAAAGAAGTAATATACCCCCATTTGGTGGACAAATATAAGGTTGTCTTGTTAAATTGAAGAAAACGGTATATAACAGTATGTTCCAAGGGGGAGGAACATTTACTGGAAAGGAGAAAAAAACCTGAGATCTTTCACTGGACACAGAAAGGAAGAAAGTGAAATTTAAAAAAAGCAAAAAGGTTTTAGAAAGTCTTACATAGATATGTACATGCGTGGTGATTGGCAATACCATAGGAAGTTAGGGTGCGTGGGAAGGGGAAAGCATGCAATCCTTCAATTTGCCTCCCCCAAGAAATATTTAATTAAAGGGAGTTACCTCAACCAAGCGGTGGGCTGACTCAGTCCCTGATTCCCTTCCCCAGGTGGCCGATGTACCTGACTCGGACAGACAGGATAGTCTCCGGACTCCGAACGGGCTGAGAGCTTCCAATAGGGCTGCCAACTCCCCCGGTAGGGCGGAAATCCCCCCCCCCGGAGGCCCCGTTCCCCGACGCCGGGGAATCGGGACCCAGGGGGAACCCCTCCCCGGCGTGCGCGTCACCGGAAGTGATGTCGCATGCTGGGGGCGGGGCCACGCCATTTGGCGTGTGACGTCACTTCCGGTGATGCTCTGGTGGCTCGCGCATCCAACACCGGCTCCCGGAGCAACTGGACGCTCCCCCGCCGGCAAGTATTTTGAATTTGGCAACCCTAGCTTCCAAGCACTGGAACCCTCAGGCATAGTCAAGGGTGAGGAGAGCCACGATTATGGAAATCGGCCACGGACACTCAGTCCCATAAGGAATCAAACCGAGCTCACCCACAGGGAGCCCGAAGCTCTTCCTCCTACCCCACCAACGGTAAATATCAGATGATCCCAACGGGTCAAGCAGCATCCTGCTTACTTGAAAGATTATGGCTGTTTAAGGGTTGTCTCGTCTTAGGGAGGAGGATTGTTGTGTATGAAATGTAATGTAATGAATGTATTGAGCTTGAGTCTGACAAAGGTATTGTAAACCGACCTATCAGAACAAAGGAAGTTCTGGAGGGAAGCAAAATGATTGGTCTTTATGTACTGTATTTGATTGGACCTTAGCTGACATGTGGGCGTGGCCTGCCAAGCCCGGACTGTTTAAAAAGGAGCCTGTTGCTCCGTAGTTTGTCTCATTCTGGTTCTTCTGACTTTGTGTTCAAATAAAGCTGTTATTGCTGTTCACCTGCTGCCTCGAGTCTCGTATCTAACACCACCCC